TGTCCCCTTTTGAAGCCACATCCTGTTGAAGTAGTTGTAGATTTCTATACATAAATTTTTCATACCTTTGTTTAGCATAACAATTCAGCAGATCAGTTTCCCCAGAAAGCAGATCCTGAGAAAGCAATTAATGTTCAGGCAATTTATTGGGAAGTACTTTAAGGATTAAGGAACCCTGGTGGCATTGTGGTTAAAGTATTGAGGTGCTAACCAAAAGGTTGGCAGTTCAAACCTATCATCCGGTCCATGGGAGAAAGATGATACAATCTACTTCCATAAACATTTACAACCTTGAAAACCCTAGGGGGTTGCAATGAATCAGAATCAACTCAGTGGCAGTGGGTTTTGTTTGGGTTTTTTGGCTTTAAGAATTAACACCTGTGATGGGAGGCCAGCGAAGGAAGGAGAAGCTTGGCTACCATGCAGTGGCAACCACAACATCTCCTCCCTACGGGGAGCTCTGATGTGAGAAGCTTGGGTTTTTGTGTGCCCTCAATTTAATTACAACTCATAGTGACTCTATGCTCTTCAGAATTATCCTGAGTTGAGCAAACTGGCCAGGTTTTATAGTGCCCACATTAACCAATCATCCCATGCAGCCTGCTAGGGGAGAAGGGAATGACTTTCCACGAAGCAATTCTCTTTATCTGAGGCCAGTTCTCAAAAAAAGCACTCAGCTGTCAGCCAGCGGCATTCCCAGCATCTGGGGTAAGAAGTATTTCAATCTAAGCAGGGGTCTGAGCAGCACAGCACAGCACAGCACCCACTATAGTTCTCAAAGTTTGGTCGCCAGCAGCAGTGATTCTCAAATGTGTACAGTAAAACTATGAAAGACGGAAACCTGTCAGAGAAGGAAAAGTGAAATATTTTCCACCAATAGAGAATGATACAAAAGTGCTAAGCATCGCTCACTCACTGCCATCAAGTCAATTCCAACTTATAGTGCCCGTGTAGCACAGAGTTGAACTGCCTCATAGGGTTTTCAAGGCTGTAAGTCTTTACGGAAGCAGACTACCTCATCTTTCTCCGGTGGAGCAGTTGGTGGGTTCCAGCTGCCGACCTTTTGGTTAGCAGCCAAATGCTTTAACCCCTGCACCACCAGAGCTTCTTGTGCTCTGCACCTCCATTGCCAGAAAACTTGCAAAAACTTGGGAAAAACTAAGCAGTCCTGTTGAGTTCCGACTCTCACATGTTTAAATGTATCAGAATCACCTGGATGGCTTGATAAAACACAGCTTGCTGGACTCCGTCCTCAGAGGTTCTAATTAAGTACGGGTAAGGTGGGGCCGGAGAATTTGTATTTCTCACATATTCTACGATTAAACCAAAAACTCACTGCTGTCAAGTCGATTCGACTCATAGCAACCCCTCCTTGGGTTTCCAAGGTGGTATCTCTATGGAAGTAGATTGCCCCATCTTCCTTCCAAGGAGTGGCTGGTGGGTTTAACCCACCAGTCTTCTGGTTCGCAGTCAAATGCCTTAGGCAATAGACCACCAGAGCTGATGTTTTTACCCATAGACCACACTATCCTTTATTGACACACTTAGAATGTACCCTTATGAACAGGATGAGAACACTTGAATATCAACATACCATTCATTACTGCATCAAATTATCAACTATTTTTGTATGTTATTAAGCTGGCATAGCTGATTATTAAATTTTGTTGTATAAAAATGAAGTTATCCAATACAGTAGATTCTATTTGCAAAGCATCATTTCTACTTGTAATACCTGGTCATTGTTACTTTTGAAGTTCAGCCAAATTTTCTCAAGGGTCTACAATCTGATAAATAGTACAAAAGAATTTTTTTAAAAAAAAACCTATGTTCAAGCCTTCTAAGATCTTTACTTTTGTTCAGAACCAAATTATTTTTTATATTTTATGATTCTCATTATGTCTACATTTTTTATTTATTATGTAAGCCATTCCAAGCCATATGGCTAAGGGGAACAAAAATAAACAAACAAACAAACAAAAAACCTATAAGACACATCTAGAGCTCTTTTGAATAATGCACAGATATGGAAATTAAGTGCCCTTGACTCATTTCTATTCTAGACTTGGCACAATTACAATTGAGGAATTCAATGTACATACATGGATCCCTGGTAGCATAGTGGCTAAGACACTTGCCTGCTAACCAGACAGTTGGCGGTTCAAACCCACCAACCACTCCTTGGAAGGAAGGTTGGGCAATCCTACTTCGGTAGTGATACTGCCTTGGAAACCCAAGGAGGGGTCGCTATGAGTCAGGGCCGACTCGATGGCACATAACAACAACAACAACAACATGGATCCCAGGAGAAAGGATATAGCCTGAAAACTCCCACACAAGCGTGAAAGGACAAGCTCACCTATGATCAAAGAGGCCTGTAAAGGAGCTCATTGGAAGAAATTTTCTGTTGTTACTGCTATTGGATTTTTTAAAGTATTTTCCAAATTAGAAAATATTCAGCCTGATGTTGTCAATATTTCAGACCGCAAGGGGATCGTTTAGGAAAACGTTGCCTCAGTGTCCTGAAAGAGTTACTGCTCTTCCCTAAGGGCCTAATTTACAAAGCAGCAGACTCACTGGTAGGCTTTGCCTGAAAATCTCATTGTCTCAGTAGAAACCTTTCATCTGATTTATGTGCATTGCATTTTACAAATAACTCATGGAATGTTATTTACTAGTTACTTGCTCTGGAAGCAGAGGGTAAGTGGTGTTTCTAGCTTAAGGACAGAGGAACAAAGATGCATCAAGCACAGCTCATCATGAAGATGAAGCTGATAATAAAATGCACACTATCTAATTCTCTAAGCTTACTGTGCCCGGGGAGAGTTTGGTATTGCCCTTTTATTTTGTGTGAAATTGGAGTGTGTTCGAAATTATGTCAGTGTCCAATCCTGCATTTGTCTTCTGGAATGCGACTGTTTATTTCTAACCCAAAATTTGGCCTGGAGATGGATTAAGTCTCAGCGATTTTGAACACCCAAGCCAACCAAGAAATAGTAACTCGAACTGGATGAAATTGCCATGTTTGTAGGTCAGAACGGTCAGATGTCAGCAGTTTTACATGGTCCAACCTGTACATTTCATGCCAAATTGTACCAATAAGATTCTGAGCACTGTTGAAATGGTTCTTTCAAAAAAAAAAAAAAAAGGGAGGTAAAAAAAGAATGGTTTTTCTATTTCTCTCTGCATTGGTAGTTTACCTGAAAACTGGCTAATAAACAAGGGTCCAGCAGCCCAGGCTCACTCTTCAACTACATGAGGTTTAGCCTCTTTGCCTAATCAGAATACTCCACTATCCTTCACCTGTGCAGCCTTAGAATTTATTTAGGAGTTGATCAATAGAGGAGTGCAATGCTTACTTTTTTTCCAATAGCTGTTTCCTTATAAACCTATTCTTCCCTTCGCCAGTTAATGCAGACAAGATTTTTATGCAGTCTGAGCACAGAAACTACACTGTGGAAGACTGTGTGCTCAGCAAAAACCTCACCCATGATGAATAAACAGCTCTTCTGGGGCCTTGGCTGCCGTGAGTTTGGCAGGAGTAGTTTATTGCCTGCTTTGCACATCCCATGATAAAGTTGCTGCTGAAATAAATTGCAGTTTTGCATAATTATTGACAATCACATCTTAACAAGCCGTGTGTATCATATTCAAGGGTTCATTTTTTTAAAATCCATTTTTAGCTTATGTTTAATCCCAGAAAGTGTTTGTGTAGTAATAGAAGGCAAATAAGGCATTTAAATGGAGTACTAATTTCCTCATTGCAGACAAAATCTACCTGAATCTTTTTAGCTGGGACTGTTTCTGCCTAAGGCAATTTTCCCTCCTGAGCTATTATTATGTAGATGTTTGCTGAGGGCGTTTGTGTGTGTGTGTATCTGAAATACATGCATTAGATATTTTACCAGAAAATAGGAATAAATACGCCAAAAGATTTTTGTTTCATTAGTGAGTTTGGTTCACCCCCCCACACACACACACACACACAAGACTAGAGGAATGGGAAAAAGGACTGTTTGGGGGAGAGAACCAACATTTTTGAGTTATGATGATATATATGAGGCACTGAATTTTAGATGTGTTATTGTATTTTAATTCTCTTCTCAGTTTGCAGATGAGAAACTGAGAAGTGAGAGCAGTTAAGTCACTTGCCTTATCACTCAATTAATGAGAGGTACAAGTATCTGAACCTCCATCTGTCTAGTTTTTAAGGCTATAGTTTCTCCATTTTACCAAAAAAATTTCTTTTGGAAAATAATCTCAGTTCCCTGACCAAAAGCTAGTGAAAGCTAACACAAAAGTCATACAAAATAACTCAGTGTCATACAAAATGACATATTACTCAATGGTTCCTGTGAAATATGTTCTTTTACTGTTTTTTAGTCTTTTTTGTTCCCCTTTACCCTACTGTCTCCTTTTTTTTCTTTTCTCAGTGTTCAACTTCCCACCCTTAGACTCATATTATCTTGGCTTTTCTCTTTGCCTTTCTAATCCTTGTTTATTGCCTCAGGGTGATTTCAAAGATAAGCATGGTATGAGGATTTTAGAGTTTTACCTATAAAAGTTAGCTTAAACTTTTGCAGCATATTAAAATAAGCTTTCTAAATTGATCAGCAAAAACTAGAACATTTGGAAAATGAGAGTTTTTGAAAGTCAATATATAAACTTGCAAAAAAAAAAAAAAACAACAAAATTTCAACTATATGTTCACCTTCTTCGTGGGAGAGGATTTGCAGAAATCTGCAGTTAACATTCATTGTTTAAGGGATACTTTTGCATGCCTTGCCCAGTGCAGAAGCCTAAGTAGAAATAAAGGTAAGTGAATTGCCAGATGATCTAGTTGTTCTTGTTGTTGTTGCTCTTAAGAGGAGTTTTAGCAACAGCCTTGGCTGAGATCTTACAGTTTTGCCCCTCCGTCTTTATTTGCTCTTTTCATGGAGCTGGGGTACACCATTCTGATACTTGAGCAGAATTGCATCTGGATGTTTGTTCCTTTGCAGAGTAAGCGAGCGAGAGGCTGCTTTGGAAGACACTCAGAGATTACTGCAACAGTTCCCCCTGGACCTCGAGAAGTTCCTTGCCTGGCTTACTGAAGCTGAGACAACTGCCAATGTCCTGCAGGACGCCACCCATAAGGAGAGGCTTCTAGAAGACTCCAAGGGCGTAAGAGAGCTGATGAAACAATGGCAAGTAAGTCAAGCATTTCCACTTTAGCATTCTTGTGAATCCAACTGAACAATTATTGGCTTTTGTAGTCTTTGTACTTTTAAATGCTGGGGACAATATACAAAAGTTGTTTTATATGGCTTACTATATGTAAGCATTTGGACAAGGAGAAGGACAAGTCATCTATTTCTTTTATTTTACACCCTGATCTTCTTTAAAAAAAAAAAAAAGTACATATTTTTGATAAGGAAAACTTGCCTGTAAAAACCAGAGCTTTGATTAAGAAAGCTCTGAGTTGCTCAGCCAGAGAAAAAAGTTAGAGATTAGTTTATTAAACTGACAAAGTTGCCATTTCTGAGTGTTTATTAATATTTTGCAGGGAAAGCATATGTATGAACTGTCTGCTTTTTCTCTAAATTGTATTTGTTGTTGTTGTCATTGGGAATATATGCAGCAAAACAGACACCAATTCAACAGTTTCCACATGGACGTTCTTTGCGTTGTGCAGCCATTCTCCCCTCTTCTGAGTTCCTTCCTCCTCTCCTCCTCTCCTCCTTGTTGTTGTTATTCTCCCCCTCTTCCTTTTTTATCTGCTTGAAAATGACATTTATTTTACTCTGGTTCTCCTGTGCATAGAGAAGATGACAGTAGCAATTTATAGCTTCCTCTTGAGTTTATCATTCTTGTTTTATCAACCTCCTCTGACCCCATTTGTTCCTTCATAATGTATGTTGAGTCAGTTTTATCATTTGGAGCTAGTTCATTGCTGACAATACCTGACTTTATCCTTGAAGATATCTTCCATAGCTTGTGATAGAAGGGAAAGGCAACAAACATTTAGATTTTTGGTCACTCTCAGATGAAAGGTTAGACAATATACTGCTGTAACTTTTTTCCCTGTGGTATTTCATAAATAAAATTTTATTTCAAGTTCCAAGTACCTATACAATTTTTAAAAATAATATAAGGGGTTCATATATTCTCATCAACTCTATTAATGAAACAGTAATTTTTTTTTTAATTGGGCTTTAGGTGCAAATTTACAGAACAGAGTTTGTTTTACATTCAATATTTCGTGTACATTTGGTTTCACTCCACATTTACCATCCCCAACCCTAACCCACACTCCTCCCCGCCCTGCCCAGTAAATCTCCGCCCCCAGCCCCTCATAGTTATGCACTCCTGTATGTCCTGCATTTCCTCCATGCAAATGTTGTTTGCCCCTCTGGTCCCCCATGCTCAATTGCTCCAAGGGATGCACCTCCATAGAGTATGAGGGTCTGTCACCCTGGGTTGAATGGTCTGCATGTACATCTTGTTTACTATTGGGCTGAGAGACAGCCCCTGGGAGTGCGTTTTATTCCAGACCCAAAATGTATCCCAGGGCCATAGTATTGGGGGTCTCACCAGATTCCATCCGACCAGTAATTCGGGTCATTATTGTGTTTTTTGATTTTGTTCCACGTTTTTCCTCCCACTCCTTCCAGGATATCTAGTTTTGATCCTTTCCTGAGTGGTTCGCATTGGTAGCCAGGGACATCTAGTTCTTCTGGTCTCGAAGGCCATCATGTCATGGATTTTTTGCACTCTTCTTCACTTCCAATGATAGGAGACCATTAACTACATCTTAGATGGCCGCTTAAAAGCTTTTAAGACCCCAGTCACTATCTACCAATGTAGGTTGAGCAACAAGGTTTTTATGTATTTTATTGTGCCAATTGAGTCTGGTGTCCCCCAGTACTATGGTCCTGAGTCAGAAGATCCATTGGATCTCTCTCACACAGTGTCTGACTGTCTGTGAGGGATTACTCAATGTTTGTCTTATGTTGTTTCTGTAAATATTTTGTATCACTGGTATCTGTGCAAGATTAGCCTCTGCTGAATCTATCCTTGGTCTAGAGTATACTCCTGTTCACTGACCCCGTCTGATCTTCTCAGACGTTTATGTGTTTATCTGTAGCCTGGTGTTTGGTGTTAATGGTAATGCAGTATTGTGGATATACTGGTATTAGCCTCTGTCATTATATCTTAAGTGCACAATTTGGTGCCCTCTCTTTTCCTAATGTTATCATGCTGGTCACAGACTCTTTCTATACCATCCCTCTCCTTACCCACTTCAGCGTGTGGCCCCCAACTAGCATGAAATTAATCCCTCCTCTTCCTTCCCTACCCCGGTAACCTTCAAAGTGAGTTCTTAAGCAAACCCTTCTTTGTCTTTTTACAGTAATGGGCTCATACAATATTTGTCCTTCTGCAATTGACTTATTTCACTCAGCATAATGTCCTCCAGGTTCATCCACATTGTGAGATGATTCGCATATCCTTCATTGTTCTTTAGTGTAGCATAGTATTCCATTGTGTGAATGTATCATAGTTTGGTTATTCATTCATCTGCTGATGGGCATTTAGGTTGTTTCCATCTCTTTGCTATAGTGAATTGTTCTGCGATGAACATAGGTGTGCAAATGTCTGTTCATGTGCTATCTTTCACCTCTTTAGGATATATTCCTAGTAATGGAGTTTCTGGGTCAAATGGTATTTCTATTTTCAGTTTTTTAAGGAAACACCATACCATTTGCCACAATGGTTGTACCATTTTACAATCCCACCAGCACTGCCCAAGAATTCCCATCCCTCCACAACCTCGCCAGCATTTGTTATTTTCTGTCCTGTTGAAATTTGCTATTATTGCTGGGGTGAGATGATAGCTCATCATTGTTTTGATTTACATCTCTCTAACAACTAATGATCATGAGCAATTCCTCGTGTGTTTGTTGGCTGCCAGCATATTGCCTTCAGTGAAGTGTCTGTTCAAGTCTCTTGCCCATTTTTTAATTGGGTTGTTTGTCTTTTTGATGTTGAGGTGTTGAAGTTTTCTATAAATTTTGGAGATATGTCCTTTGTCAGCTATGTCATAGGCAAATATTTTCTCCCAATATGTAGGTTCTCTTTTGACCCTATTGACAAAGTCTTTCAATATGCATAAAATTTAATTTTTAAAAGGTCCCAGTCATCTAGCTTCTCTTCTACCTCTTGTGCATTCTAGGTTGTGTTTGGTAGTCTATTTATGCCATAAATTAGGGCTCCTAGATTTGCCCCTATTTTATCTTGGATGAATTTTATAGTTTTGGGGTTTACATTTAAGTCTTTGATGCAGCTTGAGTTTGTTTTTGTGTGTGGGGTGAGGATTGGGTCTTGTTTCATTTTTCTGCAAGTGGATATCCAGTTTTGCCAGCACCGTTTGTTAGAAGCTATCTCTTCCCCATTTAATGGGTTTTGGATCTTTGTGAAAGATCAACTGTCCATAGATAGATGGGTCTATTTCTGAACTTTCAATTCTGTTCCATTGGTCTATCTGTCTATAATTGTACCAATACTATGCTGTTTTGACTACAGTGGCTGTATAGTAGGTTTTAAGATCTGGGAGTGTGAGTCCTCCCACTTTCTTCTTCTTCTTCAATAGTGCTCCGCTTATCAGAGGTCTCTTTCCTTTCCATATGAAGTTAGTAATTGTTTTTTCCATGTCCTGAAAAAATGTTCTTGGTATCTGAATTGGGATTTCATTAAATGTGTAGATTGCTCTAGGTAGTATTGACATTTTCACAATATTCAGTCTA